ACATAATAACCAAGTAGTTCTTCTACTGTGGCCCTGCTCCATACTATCCTTTCCTAAGAGGATCACAGAAGATCCGTGAGATCCTAAGGTGCAGTGAAGGAAGGCCCTCTATGAGGTGGATTGATTCAGTGACTGGGATAATTGGGATGGGAGTGTCAGAGACAGTGCGATTGGCACAGGACAGAGCAGAGTTTAGGGCTGTTGTACATAGGGTCGCTATGAGTCGCAGGCGATTCGACGGCACATAACAACAACAACAGTCCCTGGAGTCCTAAAGTCTTGTCCTAAAACAACAAGTCATCTAAAGGAGCCATTGGACATTCCAGAACAAAGTATATCCACTTAAGTTGAAAGAAATGATTAAGGATTGCTGATATTTTGTTGGTTCCGACTCAAAGCTGACACTTCAGCAGGTCTTCAGAGGCAGTTAGTTGCATGAGAGGAGAATACCCATTCTTTTCCTGCAGAGCAGCTAGTGGATTCAAACTATGGTCCTTTGAGATGACATTGCTACTTCTTACCACTAGGCCACTAGCACTCTTGATCAGTAGTGGTTGTTGTTTTGCTGTTGAGTTGGAATCAACCCATAGCTGACACCTCCTCACCCCCTGCAAGCAGGATTTTAGGAGCAATAAGTGCCATGGGAGGAGATTGTCCATCCTTCTCCTGCAGAGCAGCTGGTGGTTTTGAACCATGAGCCTTTGGGATTGCAGTGCAGATTCTTACCACCAGTCCCCCAGAGAGATACTTGTGTGTAAATACAGCCTTTTGAAAGCAGAGCCTTAACTACATTTTTTTAAATATTGTGTCACATCTGGAATCCATGTTTGAGTTTTAAAAGCTGCCACAAGTACAAGATATCGGAATTCTATTCCCCAAAGGGTCTTTCTCACTGTAATCAAACCTGTGCTAGATGTGATCATTTGTGCTCAAAGATTCTTGAAGCACAGCATTTATTACTGATAAATATTAACCATGAACTCCCAGAAACAGACATAACTAAGGAAGCAATTTTATTAATTGGTTACTAGAAAAATCTCTACTACCACTGTCCTGGACCACCCTGTAATAAACTGAAAGGGATGTACCTTTGGCCAGTCCTGTAATCCCAGTGATAATGTTATTCACCCGTCCCTGCCAAATTATTCCTACTTTTAACTCTCCCAGTGGTCCTCCAGCCATCTATGAATTTTATAAATTTCACATCCCAATCTAATGGTACAAAACTGTATCTTTCTTCATTATTCATCAGAGTGACTATTTTCACTCTATGTCTATGGATGTTTCCTGTCCAGTCTTTCTCTAGACTTCAATAAACCTCCTTTACTCTTATTTAAAGTAACTCCATGATGTTACTAGTAGCAGAAGAGTTCCAATAAAATTTTATTTAAAAAGAAAAAAAAAACAGGCAGCATTTGCTGATTTCCAACACTAGATTTTAAAACAAGGCTCTCTCATTTGAAAAGACATTTACTTTATCTTCTGTATTCTGCTTGGAGTGCTCATATGTCCACACTGGTTTACAATATTGAAGCACAATAAAATAAAAAAGGATATGCCAACAACCACAATCCCCATTTTATTTTTACAAAAGCACATGATTTTAGATTCCATGAAATTCATGAATGGTTCCTTATTCCATCTGAGGCAATTAGTTATAGTTACACTATCTTGAGGTAAATTACGCTGAAGTTTGTAATCACAACAGTGAACAAACACACCAGGACTCTGGCAGCAGAAAGCCCCAGGACAAAGATATTTCAGTGTAGCCATTGATCTTACATTTTGCCTTTTTCAGATTCTCATCTAAATGAAGCCATAGAACCCAAGACATTTTTTTAATAGCAAAGAGGAGAATGGGTACTTAAATTTGAAAATGTTCTTGCTTTTAAAAGGAGTTGCTCTTTACTGGGAGCAGTTCTACAGTTAAGACAATTTACAATGTCTGTTGACATTTGCAACTACTGTAAATACAAATCATAGAGTAGGCAAAAGAGTACTACTGGCATCTAGTGGGTAGAAGCCAGGGACACTACTTACTGAACACTTTGCAACACGCAAGCAGCTCCTTCTCTTCTACTCGTAACATAATTATCAGTCCCCAACTGTCAATCATGCCAAGGTTGAGAAACTATGACTTAGGAAATTATGGCAAATATTATTTCACTTGCATGATTCTCTGGAGAGGTAATATGATGTTATCACAAGAAGTATAGATACTGAGGGGAGCATTCTTGGGTTAGATTTGTCACTAATTCCTGTGCAGTTCTACTCTGTTCTACAGGTTGTCTGCAAACCAGATTCAACCCCATGGCAATGGGTTGTGTTTTTTTTAAATTTAAATTCAAGCCTCTCAGTCAGAACTGTCTCACAGCTGACCCTCCAGTGGGTTTCTCAATACTGTAAATTTCACAAAAGGAGACTGCCTATCTTTCTTAACCAGAGCCCCTAGCGAAGTTGAAATACCACAGAGGCACCACTTTGGGGCTAGTAGTGTGGTTCCCAAAGGATTACATCATGCAGCATTTTCAACTTCAGATAACAGTTCAAGGTCTCTTTGACAACAGTGGTGGTCTCTCTGGTGGTGTAGTGCGTTGTGTAAGACTGTAAATGGAAAGGCTGGCAGTTTGAATCCACCAGCTTCTCTGAAGAAGAAAGAGGGGCACCCTCCTCCCCTAAAGATTTAGAGTCTCCTGTAAAACTTTACAATGTTGGAAACCCAATAGAGGGTCCAATGGAGAGTCATTATGAGTCAGAATTTACTTAAAGGCAGTGGAGATTTTCTGTGGATTTTTTCTTCTTTTTCTTTTTCCAACGAAATCATACTTCCTAAGTGTGCAGTGCAATCCTAAACAAATAGATGAAAGGCATGTGAAAGGACATATTCTCTTGCTGAGGAGTGATAGTCAAAATGAACCAAATCATAATAGTGGGCAAAAGGTTAACTTCTGCTACATCTCTTCTTTTGTTTAAATTTTTTAATTTAATTTTATTATTTTGTGTGTGTGTGTACCATCAAATAGGATCTACCTGGTACTGGAGGAGATTGTCGCTTCTTCTCCAGCAGAGCATCTGGTGGATTTGAACCACACACCTCTGGGATTGCAACGCAGGTCTTACCACTAGGCCACCAGAGCTCCCTTTCTGCTACACCTCTTCTAAAAAACATCTTTCTAGTTGTAAAAAAAAATAAAAATAGAAATTTATGTCTCTTTATTGTCTTATATTCTCTTGGAGTATTAATGTGAAAAGAAGGCAAGTAACTTCTTGAACAAAAATTATTTTTAATAATGATATGTCCTTGAACTGAGAATTGTGGTTTAACACTATTGGCAATATGTCTCTTTGCCTCTGTCTTCTCATCTGTAAAATGGGGTTAAGGGCACTCCCCTCACTGGTTGCAGGTAAGTTTTGGTGAGTATTAACCTGTGAAGTGCTCAGAACAGGATCTGTCACAGGCTATGTGTATTTAGCAGGTGCTATGGTTTGCTCTTCCAACATTTCAATGATGGAGGTGAGGCAGAGGGCACTGTAGAAGTCCTGTGCAGTTGAGACTTGAAGCCAGGTCGGCTTCAAGTAAAAATTAACTTCCAACCTTCTTTTTTCAGCCCCTACCATATTCCCCTAAAATTCTCAGGGATAAGGAGCTCTCTGGTAACCCAGCTTGTCCTGTCAGGGCAAATTTTATTCTATTTATTTCTTATGATAAATAAAAAGGTAAAGAAATGTTGTAATTGTTGTTGTTAAGTGCCGTCGAGTCATAGGGAACTCATAGCGACCCTATAAATGAAAGTCCTCGACACTTGCATGACTTTCATCTTCTCTCCATGTTCATAGGGTTTCCGGAGGCAAGCTATTTACGGACGTGGATGCCACTCCTCCTTCCAAGATAAAGAAATACTTCATATTTATTATACTTCTTTAAACATAATGACCATTCACCGACTGAATTGCACAAGTAGACACTGTGAATGGATGTGTTTAGTCATATAATGCCACTGAAAAAAATTTTTTAAATCACATTACATTTTACATGATATTACAATTTTTTGTTTCCTTTTTTAAAAAAATTTATTTAAAATTCAGTGTACCATCGAATTGGCACAGTAAGAGTTTACCCCTTCTCCTCCAGCAGAGGATCTGGTGGATTCAAACCGCTCACCTTCAGGATTACAGTGCAGCTTCTTGCCACTAGGGCACCAGAGCTCCCCTTGTTTCGTGTTTTTAATGACCTTCATGCTATCAATTGTTGCACAAAGACCATGGCTTGTCCCGTGTGGTTTTCAAGGCAGAGGTGACAGTTGGTCTCGCGCTGCCGATGGTTTTAGAGAGATGATTCTGTAGAGGAGAAAGTATTGGCTAGGCGGTAGTGGTGGATGTTGGTTGGTAGGTACAAATGAGTGGAGTACGCCTTATACAGAGCCAATGAACAACAGATCTGAGCCCTGTTCTATCCTGCGCCAGCCGCATCATCTCCGACATACTTCAGTTATTTTGTCAATCCATCTCTTTGAGGGTCTTCCTCTTTCGCTGATCCTCCACCTTTCCAAGTATGATGGAAAAGAATAGTTCCGAGGAATAGCCTCTCCTAGCAACCTGAGTGCTAGGAATCTTGTCAATCTGGCCCTGCGGTATCAACTGCGGGTGTTTCTGAAGCATGCTCACAAGCACTGGTGCTTGAGACCCACAGAACTATTAACAATTAGTACTTGAAGCTGCAGAGCTGAACAGATCACGAGAAGCTGAAGAAGCTAAACCCAAAGCAGCCGGCAACACCAGGCAAGTTAGTCAACTACCTGGGTCTCTGCTCCGCCTTCCTGTTACCTCGATAAGGCCCGCCCACATCGTGCGATGATTGGTGAAGTCTTGAGACTATGCGTCACCATCGACCTACCGCGGAGGGCGTAAACTGAGAGGGGCGGGCGAAGCCGCGCACCTATTGGCTAGTCGCCCCGCCGCGGGTGCGCACGGGGCGGTGCGCCTCTGGCAGCCGTTGGAAGATGGCGGCTGTCGCCGAATTAAAGGCTGGTGAGTCCTGCGGAGCGAGATTCTCGGGTGGGAAACATCGGGCTTTTTTGCCTGTGAAAAGGATGGGATGGACGGAGAGCGAGCGGAGCTCAGGGTCAGCTCCCCAAGGGTCGTTTTGTGGTATTAAGGACTGTGGAGCAGCCGGCTGGTGTGACAGCCTCTCAGTTGGGATCTCTGAAAGTGGCTGCCGAGGATCAATTTTTAGACACAGTTTAAAACAGAAGCAGATTCTCCGAATCTGTCTTTTTCTGGGAAGGTCGAAAGCCCTAGCATCTTGGGCCTCTGGTGCCTCTTGACTCAGACAGGTGATCCTTCAAAGAGTAAATCCTGATTTCTGTCACTTGGCAGTGTGAACTGCGCTAAATCTGACAGCCGTGTTTCCAGCCTCTTCCCCCGGGCTGAGGCCTGGGGCACATGGGTGAGGGCGGCAGGCGAGGGCCTCCTGCACCGTTTCACCCAGCGGGGGGCCACAAAGAACAGTTGCTCCAAAGGAAACACAAAAGCCTCATCGTTTAGAAGATGCTGCTGTTGCTAGCTACGGTGGAGTCGGCTGTGACTCCTAGCCACCCCCTGAAAATGCTGTCTGCACTTTGCCCTGTCCAGTGCCATCTTCACCCTCTGTGATAACTAGAGCTCATTGTCACAATCACTGTGTCGTTCCCTTGTGTTCAGAGTCTTCCTCTCTTAGGCTGACCGTCCCCTTTTCCAAGCATGATGCCTTTTTCCAAGGACTGGTCCCCCCTTTACCACATGCCCCAAGTATGTGAAACAGCTTCTTTGCCTCTAAGGAGCAACTCTGGCTGCACTTTCTCCAAGACAGATTTGTTTGTTCTTTTGACAGACTCTAAACTCTCTAAATGTACAGAAGGATGGGAGTTATCGAACAGAGTTCTGTACAGAAATGATGTTAGCTATGGAACAGGGTTCAGGTCTTTTGTGCAAAACTTACTCTCTTATTCGACTTGATGACAACCACTGCTAAATGGAACTAGGGCTGTTATATCTGGAAGAACATTCTTTTTTTTTAAATTTTTATTAAAATTTTATTATTTTTGTGTGCGTGTACCGGCAAATCAGATCTGACTGGTACTGGAGGAGATTGTCCCTCCTTCCCCGGCAGAGCATCTGGTGGATTCAAACCGTGCGCCTCTGGGATTGTAGTTGCAGCTCCTTGCTACTAGGCCACCAGAGCTCCCCTGAGGAACATTCTTCTGCTTTGTCACTCTTTGTCAATGTGCTGTATGAAGTAACCAGGGTTTGCTGTGATGCTGAACCTTGTGCCACTGGGGTATCAAATACCAGAGTGGTTTCCCATTGTGGACAGTGTTTGGTGGAGCTCCCAGTTGTAAAACAGATTGGGAAGCAGCAGTGGCATCCACTTCCTAAACTGCATGCCTCTGGAAACTCTATGAACTCGGAGAAATGACCATAGTGATGGAAAGGCATTAGTGTGACTGTGAGTCACACTCGACTTGATGGCAATCAACAGCAACAACATGGGATATTCAGTACTCTTCTCCAACATCACAAAAGGCATTGAGGCTTCTTCTGTCATCCTTAGTCACTGTTTACCTTTCAGATACATACAAAGTCATTTAAAAAACTACAGCTTGAATCAAGTGCACCTTAACCTTTAAATTGACATTGCACTCAAGCATCTTGGAGAGGTCCTTGCCAGCAGATTCTCTCAGTATAACACTTCTTTTTATTTCTTGACTTCTGAGGTGTTGATTGTGGATCAGCAGGATGAAAGACCGTTGACAACTTCATTCTTCCTCCGTCTATCATGTATTTGCCTGTTGGCCTGGTGGTGAGGATTTTTGTTTTCTTGATATTGCAATGTAATCCATATTGTTATTGTTAAGTGCTGTCAAGTTGCTTGCTACTCATAGCAACCCTACAGACAGCTCTGAACCCTGCTCTATCCTGAGCCAACCTCATTGTGTCTGACACACCTACCCCCATTACCCCAGTCACTGAGTCAGTCCATCTAATCCAGCGTCTTCCTCTCTTGTGCTGTCCCTCCACCTTCCCAAGCATGATGTCCCTCCCCCAAGGACTGGTTCCTCCTTGAAACATGCCCAAAGTGTATCACACAGAGCTTCAGAATCCTTGCCTCCAAGGAGTAACCTGGTTTCACTCTCTCCAGGACAGATCTGTTTCTTCTCCTAGCAGTCCATGGTATATTCAATACTCTTCTCCAGCACCACAACTCAAAGGCATCAATTCTTCTTCTAGCATCCTTAGTCATTGTCCAGCTCTCTGATGCATAGCAAGCAATTACAAAGACCAAAGCTTGGATCAGGTGCACCTTAATCTCTAGACTGACATTGTTACTCTTCTATACTCTGGAGAGATCCCTGACAGTAAATTTTCACAATGCAGTTCTTTTGATTTCTTGACTACTGACGCCAAGAGTGTTGATTATGGAGCCAAGAAAACTGAAGCTGTTAACAATCTCAATCTCTTCACCGTCTTATCATGATGTTGCTTATTGGCCCAGTAGTGAGAATCTTTATTTTTTTGATGTTGAGTTTCAATCCATATTGAATGTTACAGTCTTGATATTCTGCAGCAAATGCCTCAGATCCTCCTCAGTTTTAGCAAGCAAGGTGTGTCATCTGAATAATGCAGATAGTTAATGAGTCTTCTTGCAATCCTAATGCCACATTCTTCCTCATAGAGCCCAGCCTCCCAGATGATCTGTTCTGCATATAGACTGAAAATTTATGGAGATAGGGTGCATGTTGCATTAGCATGATCAAGTGTTCTGGGATTCCCATTCTCCTCAGAGTTAGCCACAGATTGTTGTGATCCACACAGTCAAATGCCTTTGCATAGACAATGAAACTTTAGGCAGAATGTCTTAACTCACTGGTATTGACAGTTCATTAAGATTTTGTCTTAACTGTAGTCTCTGTGGTAAGGAATTCTGGTGACATAGAGCCTGACATATCAGACTACTAATTAAAAGGTTCTGTTCCACCCCAGGAGAAACTGTCTTCAGGAGAAAGAGGGGCAGTCTTCTCCCATGAAGTTTTACAGCCTCAGAAATCTGATGGAGGGTTACTGTCTGTCCAGATTGACTCCATGGTGATGGAGTGTTTTGGTTTATTTCCTGGGGTGGAGGCTGCCTTGTATATTTTAGAGCATGTATCAACATCCTTGGCCACTGGATACCAAGTAACATCTCTTCCCTCAGTTAAGAAAAAGAGGAAAGGTCCTTGTGAAAAACAATGTATATGAACTTTATGGACTTTGTATGTAAACTAATGTAAAATTATTACCTAACTTAAGAGGGACTGAAGAGCATTATGCTGAGTGAGCTAACTCAGTCACACAAGGACAAATTCTGTTTAAAACCATGATTGTAGAATGAGTATGAGGATCCAAGGTGGGGGTGGAGGCAGGGTGGAAGCAGAGAGGTGAGGAAGTGTGGTGCAGGGGACTATTTATGGGGTCGTACAATTTGATGGGCAGGGGGATGAGGGAAATGGGAATGATCTGGTGTGAAAAACAATGTATTTGAATTTTATAAATAAGCTAATATTTAAAAAAAAATCTTGCCGTTCTACGAAGATGGCGCCAAAAGCGAAGAAGGAAACCCCTGCCCCTCTCAAAACTGAAGCCACAGCAAAGGCATTAAAGGCCAAGAAGGCGTCCTGAAGGGCACCCACAGCCAAAAACAAAAACAAACAAAAACGATCCGCATGTCACCCACCTTCTGGTCGCCCAAGACGCTGAGACTCCGAAGGCAGCCCAGATACCCCTGGAAGAGCGCCCCCAGGAGAAACAAGCTTGACCACTGGGCCATCACCATATTTCCCCCGACCACTGATTCAGCCATGAAGAAGATAGAAGATAATTAACACACTTGTGTTCATTGTGGATGTCAAGGCCAACAAGCACCAAATTAAACAAGCTGTAAAGAAGCTCTGTGACATTGATGTGGCCAAGGTCAACACTTTGATTAGGTCTGATGACGAGAAGAAGGCCTATGTTGGACTTACTCCTGACTATGATGCTTTGGATGTTGCCAACAAAATTGGGATCATCTAAACTGAGTCCAGCTGGCTAATTCTAAATACAAATTTTTCTCACCAAAAAAAAAAAAAGTATCTCTAAACATTGTCAGGTGTCATGTGGGGGAAAATCACCACTGGTTGAGAAGCACTGCCTTAGATAGATGATAATACGGGCAACCCCAGAGTGTTTGCAATATCTTTGCTTGAATCTATTGTATGTAAGAAAATTTGATCTTTTATAACCCACCTCGCCCCCCTGCTGCTGCATTAGCTCTGCTGGCCTAGTTGTAAGAAGCTGGTCTGCAATTCCAAAGGCACACAGTTTGAATCCACCAGCTGCTCTGCAGGAGTTGGATGGGCAGACTCCTCCTCTGCCATTTCCTGGCTCTGAAAACCTGCTGGAGGGTCAGCGATGAGTCAGTTCAAGCTGGACAGCAAACAACCACCACCGTTTAATGAGCTGGCCCCACTAACTCAAAAGGAATTCACATCCTTTTTCTGCTGCTCGGAGAGATAAAGGTGGGCGATGTCCTTCGTTTCTTACAGCATTGACATTTCTCAAATTGAAAGGACAGAAGAACCAATCCAAGCCTCAGGTTGCAGTAAAGAAGGATTCTATGGGCTGCATCTTGAATGATGCAGGAGGCACCCAAAGAAGATAGTGAGGACGGTGCAGGTTAGAGCAAGGCTCCTGTCTGTTGTTCACAGGGTCTCTGTAAGTCATTGTCTCCTCAATGGCGCATAATAAACAATGCTGAAGCCCAGGTTGTTGACTTAGGTCAAAGTATGTGCTCTGAGGTGCTGGGGAGACAGTCTAGGTTCTGTGACTCCAGCTTCACTAATTCGCATGTCTCTGTGGATCTGAGATTCTGCTCTGCATAACACAGAGTAGTTCAGACGGGATCCCTGCCAGGGCAGAAACCCTCTCCATTTGATTTCCTAAAATGGAATTGGAGAACAAGGGTCCAGTTATGATCTGGTGAGGATGAAAAGATTATTTTTTTTTCTTTTATGGGCCTGCTATAAAATGTAATTGGCTGATAACTATCGTTACAGACTTTCAAAAGTTTGAGAGTTTAAAATATGTAGAAGAAAGTTTCTCAAAGGGCTGAGTCTTTGGGGAATTGCACTGCTCACTGAAAGGCAGTGACTTTCGGGCAGTTCCAATCCACCCGCATCTCAGAGGAAGAAAGATGGGCAGTCTCCTGCCAAGCGATTGACAGCCTTTGAAAACCCACTGGAGGGTCAGCTGTGAGTCAGCTCTGACTGGACAACAGTGAGAGAGAGAGGGAGAGTTTAGATGTGGGGAGCTCTGCTGGCCTGGTTTGTAAGGATCTGCACATCTCTGGTGCTTTGAATCTACCAGTCACCCCAAGTGACAAAATAGGTATTCTCTCTCCTGTTTGATGTACTTCTTCGAAAACCCAGTGGAAGTTTGCTGTGAGTCAGAACTGGGTCAACAGCAGGGAGTAAGTCTAGATGTTTTTAAACATATAACCCAGAGTTTGTTTTCTTCCTCCCCCCCTTTTTTTAGAATTAGTTTTCTTTATCAAGGTTTAAAATTGTTATGTCCATGCCTATGTTTGGAAGCAGGAGTGGCACCCACTTCCTAAACAACATGCCTCCGGAAACTATGAACTTTGATAAATGTCGATAGTTGTAGAGGGGCTTCAGGCCTTTTGTTCATAGGGTCGCTATGAGTCGTGCTTGACTCAAAGGCAATCAACAACAACAGAAACAACATGGGGAGCTCTGGTGGCCTTGTGGCAAGAAGCTGTGCTGCAATCCTGAGGGTATATGGTGCAATCCTGAGGGCACATGGTTCAAATCCCACCAGCTTCTCTGAGAGTGAAGATTGGCTTTCTTCTCTCATATGATCATAACTGCCCTGAAAAGCCACTGGAGGGTCAGCTGTTGGTCAGTTCTGACTCAATGGTACACATCAACAACATGCCTATACATATAAACTCTTGGACTCCCTTTATGATTTTCCTTACTTTGGGGTAAGGTATTAAATACCTGACAGTATTAAAGTATGTTTATTTCACCAACAGTATGCAGGAGCCCTAATGATGTAATATGTAACATGTTGGGTGCTACTGTGAGGTGAGCCATTTAAATCCATTGCTTACTCCTTGGGAGAAAGATGGACAGATTTACAGCCTTAGAAACAAAGAAAGATGGACAGATCTACAAACTTACCCTCCTGTAAAGATTTACAGCTTGAAGGGAGCCCTGGTGGCCTAGTGGCAAGAAGCTACACTGCAATCCCAGAGGTGCACAGTTTGAATCCACCAGATGTTCTGCTGAAGAAGGAGGGACAATCTCCTCCTGTACCAGTCAGATCCGATTTGATGGTACATACACAAAATATAATAAGATAAAAAAAAATATTTATAGCCTGAATCCAACTTTTCTGTAAACCTTTGTTAAAGTTACAATTAAAAAGTTAGTAATAATAAAAAAGACTTAACAGCCTAAGAAACCTAGTGCTAAGTTGCTATGAGTTGGAGTTAGCTTGATGACAGTATGCTAGATTAGACTACTAGTACTGTTGTTGTGTGTCATTGAGTTAGGACTGACCGATAGCTCACCCTTCAGCGGGTTTTCAGAGGCAGTTAATTGCACAGGAGGAGACTGCCCATCCTTTTCCCGCAGAGCAGATGATAGATTTGAACTATGTGCCTTTGGGGTTGCAGCACAGTTTCTTACCACTAGACCACCAGAGCTCCCTAACCATGTGGTATTTTGATATCTTCAAGGTAGCATTTATTAAGCTCTTGCAGCTCTTGCTGTGTTCCAGGAAACTGTAGGTGAGCTGTGTTGGTTTCTAGGAATGTTTGAGAAGGGAAGTTCCTGACCCTTGTAAGTATGGTGCCACATGCTGTCACTACTCAAACTCGCATTTACAGATACGGGTATTGGTAATAATGACATTGGTTCATCAAGAAAACTTCAGTTACATTTTAATATTTCGCATATGTATCTCTGACTCTTTAAGTCTGTGAAGATTATCATGTAGGATTCAGCCCTTGCCTGTCATTTTGTCATTCTGTGCTGGATTGGATGTTGCTAAAATGTGAGAAGCTTGGTGGATAGATTTCAGCAGAGCTTCCAGACTCAGGCAGACGAGAAGGAAAGGCCTGGTGATCTACTTCTGAAAAGTAGCCAGTGAACACCCTGGGATCACAGCACAATATTACTGTCCAGTGTTAACTCAAGAAATGAGTCCCTTGTGTTGGAAGACACTCAGAATGAGCAGTGGTCATGACAGTGAACATGAGAATATCAGCGGTCATGAACATGACACAGGACGGGCAGTGCTCTGTTCTGATTGTATGGGGGGGCGTCATGAGTCAGAACCTGCTCACAGCAGTTATTTAAGATGGCACTGACCTAATGAAGTTTAGATCAAATTTTAAATGCTACAGTTTCTTAATTATCTTAAAACCAAAAACCCAACTTTGCCTCATTGGTGTTTAGTTTTATATAAAAGACACAACACATTCTTCTTTTATGCATGTACTTGTTTGAGCAATTTTTAGTGACACATAGAACATGTCTTCATTGCCACTGTTGAGAAAATAGGAGAGATTGAGGATTAAATTCAGAGTCCAGTCTGAGAACTAATTCTTTCCCTTATTAACGAAAAGAATTTTAATATTTTAATGAACTTTTTATTGCCCCTTGAAAGTCTAGGGGTATTTATTCTAGGGGTAAACTTGAATTTGCTCAAGTCATTAAATGATAAATATAGGAACTTTGGTTTTTGTTGGCTTATGGTTTCTACTGGGCTAATTTTCAGTTTGTCAGAAAGTGCATTGAGACCTTTTACTGTCTCATTTCCCTTGAATTATTTTTCTTCTAAATATACCAGGTAATGCGAAAGATTTCTTCCATTACTGAAACACTGATATTTTATATTTTACAGTTTTAAAGGACACTTTGGAAAAACGAGGTGTGTTAGGACATTTAAAAGCAAGAATCCGCGCTGAAGTTTTCAATGCCTTAGATGATGACCGTGAGCCTCGACCACCACTGTCTCACGAAAACCTTCTAATTAATGAATTAATTCGCGAGTATTTAGAATTCAACAAATACAAATATACATCCTCAGTCCTCGTAGCAGGTAAGTGGTTTCACTGACTGCCTGAATAAAAATGTACTTCTTCATGTTCTCAGGATGCTGATCCCGTTACCAAGCAGTGTCATCTGTGTGACTCAAACATGTAAGAATTGCATGGACTCTTTCTATAGCTCCACTGAGTCCATGAAGCTTGTAATCCTGTACTCAGAACACGCAGACTCGCTCCTGTTGAGGCTTAGCGGCCCTCCATCGAGTTGGAGACGCTCTGAAGCATGATGGACAAAGACTGCCCAGCTTCCGTCCTTCTACGTGGAGCCACCAGTGGCTTTGAACCACTGGATACACACAGCCTTTAGGTTAGCAGTGCAGCTCGCCACAGCCTGCACCACCACCTATAATGCTGTACGGGGGAAATATATAACAACTACTTAAATTGAGTATTTGAAAAATATCAACGCTTCTTGACATCAGGAATGAACAATTGCTGGCTCTTATCCTTCTGGCTATGCGTATGCTTTGGAGGTGGTTTTTTTTTCTATGTCTGGAGACTAAGGTACATCTGATTCAAGCCATAATCTTTGCAATTACTTGCTATGCATCAGAGAGCTGGATAATGACTAGGGATGATAGAAAGAGAGTTGATGCCTTTGAGCTGTGGTGCTGGAGAAGAGTGTTGAATATACCATGGACTGCTAGGAGAACAAACAAATTCATTCTGGAGAGGGTGAAAGCAGATTGCTCCTTGGAGGCAAGGATTCTGAAGCTTCGTCTGACATACTTTTGACATGTTACAAGGTGGGACCAGTCCTTGGAAAGAGACAACATGCTTGGGAGGCTGGAGGGACAGCTCAGGAGAAGAAGACCCTCGATGAGATGGATTGACTCAGTGACTGGGGTAATGGGGGTAGGTGTGTCAGAGACAACAAGATTGACACAAGATAAAGCAGGATTTAGGACTGTTGTACATAGGCTTGCTATGAGTCACAGGTGACTCGACCACACCTAAGAACAACAACATGTATATATTTAAAAAACATACACATCAACACTCTGTACATATTCTTGTATACTATGTATGTATATAATGTATAAATATATATATAGGTATATATAAATATTTATAAAGTCTCATAATATGGCTTCTATGTCTAGGTTAAGGTTATATACATAATGTCTGTAAATTCACATTTAAAATTCTCCAATGACTAGAGGAACGAAAGTGGTATTGGAGGAGGAGATGAGTAGTTAAAGAAAAATGTATTTTTATCTACTGAATATTTCACTGGAGGGGGAAAAAGGACTATAATATAATATTCCCTTGGATCCAGTTATTGAGTGTTGAGAATATGGTGTGTATGTGTTTGCCATCGTTTCCATCTTTTTAAAATATCATTCCCCAAAAGGAAGGGCAAACTAGGAGGACACAGACAGTGGCTGCCTTGGGGTGGTGGTGGGAGAGGTGGGGGGTGGAGACTGGGGCTGGAGGAGCTCACCTGGAGCACCTCATCCTTGTCCTGTATTTCATTTAATTCTTTTGTTTAAGGTTTCGTTTATGCTTTAACACTGTTCTATGCTTCAAAATTGTACCTCATCAGAGAAGTTATGAAGTATGTTTTAGGAGAGAGAGTCCTTATCTGTGAAGCTAGAATTTCTCCATTGTTAATGTGTCGTCAAGTTGGAACTGACTCTTAGCTGACCCTCCTGCAGGTTTTCAGAGGCAGTTACTCACATGGGAGGAGATCGCCCATCCTTCTCCCACAGAGCAGCCTTCGCAATTGAACCACGTGCTTTTGCAATTGCAAAGCAGCTTTTTGCCATTTTCCAACCAAAATTAAGGGGATTTTTAAAAATTTATGTTGAATAGCATTAATTTATGCACAAAAAATGTATTACTTTGAAAATCATCGATCTTTATACATTTGAATCTGTTTTGGTATATGCTATCATTGTCTTTCTAAAACTTCCAAAATATGTGTACTTTGTAGGCATGGTTTTTACTAGATTATATTTTCTTTTTAGGTTAATAACAAAGACTTACTACTTTAATGAATTTCTCCACCCCCCTCCCCAGAATCTGGTCAGCCTGCAGTTCCATTAGACAGACAGTTTCTCATCCGTGAACTGAACGCCTTTGAAGAATCAAAAGATAATACAATGTAAGATTTTGTTTGTTTGTTTCTTCTAAATAAGCTTAGTAGCCTTTCTAAGATTATTAATAGTTGAAGCATGGTGACCGTCTTCTAGTAATTTCTGAGATGTGTTCCTAAATGTTTCTTAAATTTTGCCAAAGTATCCTTGAATTAGGGGAGGAGAGTGAGGGCCAACAATTGTACTTCAGAATCTGGAACCAGAGTTTCAACCGGCCGCTCTCTAGCAAGAAACTTCCTTGAATCCTTATGTTTCTGATTTCACTTTTAAAAACGATGTTCATTTTCCCCCTCCTTCTACTTTATAGTATAACTATGTTTGTTTTACTAAAAAAAAGTTTTTTTAATTGCATATCAGTTAAATTTAATTCCCCCATAATTTTTTTTAAATAAAATTTTTATCTTATTTTTACAAAGTTTACCTAGAAAGTTCTTCTACATTGTTTTTCATGCTGGATCGTCCCATCTCCTCTACCCATCCCTCCCTCTACCTATCAAATTGTGCGACCCTGTGATTACCATCCCTGCCCGTCCTCACCCCTCTGCTCCTAACCTCCCCCTCATACATGTTACTAGTTACCTTTCTATTGCTACTGTAATGGGCTTATACAGTATTTGTCCTTATGGGGCTGAGTGAGTTCACTTAGCATAATGCTCTCCCATCCCTCCTCAGTTAGGTAGTGATTTACAAAATCATTGCTCCTGTGTGCTGGGTAGTAGTCCGTCAAGTGAATATACTATAATTTCTCAATCCATTCAATTGTGGTTGGACATTTGGGCAGTTTCCATGTTCTTGCAGTGGTGAATAATGCTGCTGTGAACATTGGTGTACGGGGAGCAGTGGATCATGTGGAATTTCTGTGTTTAGCTTTTTGAGGAAACATCAAACTGCCTTCCAGATTGGTTGTACACTCTGATTATAAAATGTACAATCCCACCAATAGTGTATAAGAGTTCCTATCTTTTCATATCCTTTCCAACATTTGTTACTTGCTGTCCTCTCCATAAATTTTTGTATAAAGAAATGATCCAGGATCATTTGCTATATTTATCTTGTATTTAGTAGTAAGCCTGCAGCATTTTGTAATACAGACCATTTAGATCTGTTGCACATAGGGTCACTGTGAGTCATACAACTCGATGGCACTTGCCACAACCTCCTTAAAATTCTTGTTGTCATTTGGCCATTGTGACCCCTTAGTAGTTTTCCCATCCTCCCAGTGGTGTCCTCCATCTCTCCGTTGACTCCTTAAAGTTGCGGGCAATTACTAAGTTTTGCCCTCATCCTTTTCTAAGTACTAGAGAGCTTTCATGGTAAGAATCTGTGCTGCAATCACAAAGACGCGTAGTTCAAATCCACCAGATACTCCACGAGAGAAGGATGAACAGTCTCCTCTCGTGTGATTTACAGCCTCTGAAAACCCACTGGAGGTTCAGCGGTGGCTTGGTGGCAACTCAACAGCAAGCAACAACAGCCTTGAGTCTATAGGGATCTCTGATGGCTTAATGGTAAAGAGGTGTGCTGCCAACCCCAAGGCACACAGTTCGAATCCACCAGCTGCTCCCTAGGAGGAAGATGGGTAGTCTCCGGTGAGATCTGAAAACCCACTGGAGGGTCAGCTGTGAGTCAGTTCTGACTCGATGTACTTAACAGCAACAACTGAGCCTTTAATGAAGCCTCTGTTTTAAATCCGGGCAGATGGCTTGTGTTACAGCTTCACATTTGTACTGGCATCTTAAATTGATGAGTCCAGAAGTCAACCAAGTTATTTTCACCACCTCATAGATTCCATTTATAGCCATTCAGATCTCAGACTCCCAGTCTGCTGTCATTTTTTTCCTTGTTCTTCTTTCTTTGCTAATCACATTTTCAGTTCCATTAAACTGCCCTCTGTATTAGCTCCCCTTCATTCTCTCTGCCTGTACTATCTCCATGTGCTGTCTTTCCCAGTTTACACCTCACCCAGCCTGCCAGCCAATGGCTTTGTGAATAATAGTCATTGCTTCTGTTTAAAAATGCCTGACAACTTTCCATTGTGTACACAACGAAGTCCAGATTCCTTAACACAGTGGTTCAGGCCCCTGTCTTCCTCTCGGTCTGTATATCTGCCCCACTTGATCTCTCTCTGTGCCCTAACATCACCTAAGAAGCCCTCCACCACTGCCACCTGCATCTTATCCTTATCTGTACTACCTTTCGTCTCTATTGGCCCCATTCAGATGCTCTTTATGACTTTTCCCCTCATCCTCATCCTCCTTTTTTAAAAGGTGGAATTAACTGCATCCCACTCTTCCCCCCATTTCTTTGAGAATTAGTTTGTATTTCCATTGTACATACATTCCATTTTTCCTTGTAGTTTAATGCTTGCTCTTTTGGAGTTCCTGGGTGGTAAACCATTAACGCATCCGGCTGATAACTGACAGATTGGAGGTTTGAATCTAGAGGCACCTTGAAAGAAAGGCCTGGCATCTACTGAAAAATATGCCACTGAAAACCCTGTGGCATGCAGTTCTACTCTTCCCCACAAGGGGTCGCCATAACTCTGAATTGAGTTGCTGGCAACTATTTTTTTAAAAATATTTATTATCAGGGTGAAGTCTCTCTCAGGGAGGAGTGATAGGGAATGGCAAAGGACACAC